ATATATTTCTCATCATCATATCAGCCGTAGAACGTCCACTGCTTAACATAAGCCTCCCCATTGCCACAAAATGCTGGAATAATATACCACCTCCAGTCAAAAACTACACAACAGTAAAAAGTTTTAAAATAAAACTTAAAGAACATCTGCTTAAGGCGCAAAAGCTACGGGGCTAAAATACGTGTGCATTTCATATACTTACAGTGTACATAGTTTATGTATTTTTGATTAGTGACTTGGTGTTTTCGTCGAGCTATATTTTATTGATGTCTGCATTTGTTTTTCTTTTTGGAAACAGTTTTCTTTTTTTCCTGTTCACTGCTTTTTACTTATAAATGTTAATTTTCATTAGTCGTTATTGTGTTACTGTCTTTAGAATAATGTACCAGATTTGTGTTATAATCAGTAGGTATTGTGTTATTGTTCTTAAATTAATGTACCCGCTTTGTGTTATTTTAGTCTAGTTTGTTATTTATAATTAAAATTTTTGGTATGTACTGAAAATCGGGAGCAGAAATCCAAGGGGCCAGAAGTTGGCTGACTTTCTGGAGAGGGAGGAACTCTTTATGATGAACTCCTTCTTCAAGAAGCAGCCTCATAGGAAATGGACTTGGATGAGTCCCCGACGGCTGCACAAAAAATGAGATTGACTTCATTTTGTCGACAAAGAGACGGATATTTAATGATGTCTCCGTGATACACAGGGTGAAAACCGGGAGTGATCACAGAATGGTTAGAGGCACATTGATATTAATGTCCGCCTAGAAAGGTCTCGCTTAATGAAGTCCACGCTCCGACCCACTGCAGCCCACATACAAAACCCCGAGAGCTTTCAACTCGAGCTCACACATCGCTTCTCCATCCTGGAGGATTGCGTTTCTGTGGACGAGGTCAACAACAGGCTGGTAGAAACTGTCCACGTGGTAGGGAAAGCTTTCTTTAGACCCCGCCGGAAAGATAGACCTCAAAAATTATCAGATCAAACCCTCGACCTTATGGCGGAGAGACGCTCAATGACGCTGCAGACTTCCGAGGACGCTGAAGCATATCGGCAGCTCAATAGACGGATTTATCAGTCCTTGCGACACGATATCCGTAAATTTAATACTAATCGTATTAAAGATACGATAGAACAGAATAAGGGCTCCAAAGTGTTCGCAAGAGACTTTTCTATTGGGCAGAGCCAGTTGACGAAGCTGAAGACGGAAGACGGCAGTGTAGCATCTACCAAGTCAGAGGTACTGAGAGAGATCGAAAGGTTTTACGGACAGTTATATACCTCCAGAGCCAAGCCTGTTGACGATTTGGTTAAAGATCCAAGAGCCAAACTAACTCGACACTATACAGAAGATATCCCGGACATCAGCCTGTTCGAGATCAGGATGGCCCTCAAGCAGCTTAAGAACAACAAGGCGGCGGGTGAGGACGGAATTACATCAGAGCTTCTGAAAGCGGGTGGAACACCGGTACTGAAAGTCCTTCAGAAGCTCTTCAATTCCGTCCTGTTCGAGGGTACTACGCCCAGAACATGGAACGGAAGCGTGGTGGTCCTCTTCTTCAAGAAAGGTGACAAAACCTTGCTGAAGAACTACAGGCCCATCTCGCTTCTGAGCCATGTTTATAAGCTGTTTTCGAGGGTGATCACGAATCGTCTCGCACGCAGGTTTGATGACTTCCAGCCTCCCGAACAAGCCGGTTTCCGTAAAGGCTATAGTACCATAGACCACATTCATACGCTGCGGCAAATTATACAGAAGACTGAGGAGTATAATTTGCCACTATGCTTAGCGTTTGTGGACTATGAGAAAGCCTTCGATTCGATCGAGACTTGGGCAGTGCTGCAGTCTCTTCAAAGGTGCCAAATTGACTATTGGTACATCGAAGTGTTGAAGTGCTTGTATAAAAACGCCACCATGTCGGTCCGAGTACAGGATCAGAGCACAGAGGCTATTCCGTTGCAGAGGGGAGTGAGGCAAGGAGATGTTATCTCTCCGAAACTCTTTACCAATGCAATGGAAGACGCCTTCAAGCTCCTGGATTGGAAAGGATGTGGCATCAATATCAACGGCGAATACATCACTCACCTTCGGTTTGCCGATGACATCGTAGTCATGGCAAAGTCTTTGGAGGAGCTCAGCACAATGCTCGAAGACCTCAATAGAGTCTCCCAGCGGGTGGGCCTGAAAATGAACATGGAAAAGACCAAAATCATGTCAAATGTCCATGTGACGCCAACCCCCGTATTGTTGGGAGGCTCGTCACTCGAAGTTGTTGATAGCTATGTCTATCTGGGACAAATGGTCCAACAAGACAAATCCAACTTCGAGAAGGAGGTCAATCGACGAATCCAGCTCGGCTGGGCTGCGTTCGGGAAATTGCGTAGCGTCTTTACGTCCAAAATACCTCAGTCCTTAAAGACGAAAGTCTTTAACCAGTGCGTGCTACCAGCGATGACCTACGGTGCCGAGACGTGGTCTCTCACTATGGGCCTCATAAGGAAGCTCGTGGTCGCACAGCGCGCTATGGAAAGGGTAATGCTTGGGGTTTCTCTACGACGAGATCGAATCAGAAATGAGGAGATCCGTAGAAGAACTAGAGTTACCGACATAGCAGAGCGAGTCAGCAGGCTGAAGTGGCAGTGGGCAGGGCACATAGCTCGAAGAACCGATGGCCGTTGGGGCAAAAAGGTTCTCGAGTGGAGACCACGTGACGGCAAACGCAGCGTAGGAAGGCCTCCCACAAGGTGGACGGACGACCTAGCCGAGATCGCAGGGACGCGTTGGATGCAGGCCGCTAACGACCGGTCGAAGTGGAAGTCAATGGGGGAGGCCTATGTTCAGCATTGGACGTCCTACGGCTGATATGATGATGATGATGATGACTGAAAATCGGGAAATCGTACCGAGTACATACCTGTTTGGTTTCATGTCTTAGATATATATTCTTTTAATTGTTAACATAACTGTTTGTTGTTGAAACTAAATAAATATTCATTCATTCATTCATTGACTTCCACCTCGACCGGTCGGTAGCAACCTGAATACAAATTTAGTTTTACACACATATTATTTTTTACTAGCATTTGGAGTCCTCTTTTCCGAATAATTAAATTTTCTTTTTGTTACCCTGACTCTTCATGAAACTGCTTTACAAGTAAAATTGACGCATGCGCAACACAAGAACCAATATTAGAATTTTTATTTTATTTATAATTAATATTGTTAATTTAAACAAATTTATAGACACGATAGAACGAACGTGTGTTATTAGTGCATCAGTGAATATTTAAAGTATAATAGTAACAAAAATAATTGCCAGTTGTTAATATCAACCGACTTCGAAGGAAGGAAGTTCTCAATTCGATTGTATTTTTTTTTATGTTTGTTACCTCAGAATTTTCTATTTTATTTCTTTTCTTATTCGAAAGCTGGTGCTTCCCATGTGGTCCCTCATTGGTATTGGATCTTGGGCTCCGGAGATAAGAAGGGAACTCCTGAAAATCAATTATAAAATGATTACAGAGCGAGATATTATATATAAGTCGGTTTTGTTTTACGTTAATTAAAAAATTGATTTGTTTTCATTGGCTGGTCGATTTTTCAATTATTTTCTTATATATCTTGGGGAAAAAAAAACATTTACAACGAACAATCAAGATTAACGTCACGTGAAAATAAAAATCCAAAAATAAGAAAAACATAATTTTTGAGGGCTGAAGATGAGCCAACACTATGTCTGACTGATGTCAAACCAACGAGGAAAACGCAATAATAAACAATCGAATACTTTTCGATAATTTTCCTTAATCGATGGAATGCTTATTTTGGAATCGGAATGAGTTATTTGATATTTATTATCCCTTTATTCTGTATAGAACGATAATAAAAAACTCGAATATGATCGAGTTTTTTAAATACAGCGACATTTTTGCTACTAACTACCAGAACTTACAAAGGATCAAAATATAACCTTAAATAATCTCCCGGTAAATTTGATTTACAACGGAAAAATCTAAACAAATACACAATTTGTAAAGTATTCGTTAATAATATCGTGTAGCTGTTACATTATACATATATAAATTGTGTCCACCGTACCCAGGTGGGACGGAGGAAGAATTACATTGGATACATTAAAAAATCTTTGTTTAATTTTTTTACATGAGTACGGAACTTCATTTGAAATTTATGTCACGAATGGTTTTACGCTACGTTTTTTACGACCGGCCTGGATGACGTCAACTCTGCTTGGGATTAAGCACCTAGATAAGGAATAGAATAGAATTGAAATTATCTGTGGATCACACAAATACTTGTCCCGTGTGGGAATCGAGCCCACGACCGCCGCCGTACCCGATAAGTTATGAAACGCGCCGCCCAGTGATTCAATACTAATAGTACTATTTAGTTGAATGTTTAGCGCCAGCATCTTCTTCATAAGTGCAGAATTATGATGAAACTTACGTCTACACTTAAATACAAAATTTTGTAGATTAATTGTCGAAAATTTCGCGGCTGCAAGGCTTCGAACGCGCACAGACGCTCTAACCACTAGGCTAAGATGTCGATAATTATTCTCACCACGCGAAAATAATAACAATCTAACATATATCATGTTCAGGAAAACAAATGAACTTATTCTTAGGACGCAACAATAATTTTTGTCACCGCTTTCCTTATAGATTGCTATGAGAAAATGTTCTGTGGGTTTTTCACAAGATGGCGATTGTTTTATTATTCTGGTCAGGCCAGTTAAACGTTTAATGACCGCACAAATCACTTTTGCCACAAAAGGTGCACGAGTTTTCCTTATTTATTGTAGTAACGTAAGTACAACATATTAATGCGACGCATAACGTAAGTGAATATGATATAAATACGGGAACAAAGACGTTTCAATCAGTTGTGATTTGCGCTCCGTTCGGAAGCATCGCTCGTGTCAATTATTTGCAAAGCATCAGTTTTTTAACGTTCGGAAATCCGCAAATAGCAACCGTCAAGATGGTGAAAAGCTACCGCTCAGTACTTCTGTTGGTTTGCGTCACGTTCCTGGTGATTGTTTCATCGCCTAAGAATGCCGTCGATGCGGACAAGCTCATCGGCAGCTGCGTGTGGGGCGCGGTGAACTACACCTCGAATTGCAACGCCGAGTGCAAGAGACGCGGCTTCAAGGGAGGGCATTGCGGCAGCTTTGCCAACGTCAACTGCTGGTGCGAGACATAAGGTCCGTTGCTGAACTCAAGAAGTATCGACACAATCCAAAGGAATGAATAATGAACGACAAACTTCGAGATTACGGACATCGATTGACCCATTTTTGATAAATATGTATTTAGAAATTATATTTACTAGTTGTTAGTTTCATTAGTTAATTTATGATTTATGTCGTCATCAGTTAATTTTGTATAATTATTTATAAAGCAGATTCAAGAATAATAAAATATGCTACTACAAACAAACATCTTTTCTTTACAAGTCCTATTTCGATAAGTCCACCCTGCAAGACTACGCGTACAGACAATCTATGGGTGTTACATGTTTGATATATTTCATAATTTATATTTTGTTACGATTTATCTTTTTTTTTATGTGAAGTTGCCAAGCGAGCCCGCGCTTCACCTGATGTTAAGTGAATACTGCCCCGCCTATGGATCCTCCCTGCTACTCCTCGGGGGTAACTCTCGGGAGTTGCAGATGCGTCGACAACCTTTTGAAAATTTGGGTCCGGCTACCACACTCACCAGACGAAACGCGAAAGTATTATACTTCCACTTTACGCCGGTCTTCTGCGAGGTCGTGGTGCTTACCCGGACGAGCCTGCCCATTCGTGCAACAGCCGCATTATGTAATCACATTTTTTAGACCTCTAGTTTTACATTTTGAATTATATTATATATTCATGTTACAGTGACTTTTGTAAATTAATCAATCAATCAATCAATCCTCATTATTTGCCATCTTGAGTAGGTATACATTATGTTTTATATGTTTCAATAAAGAAACAAACCATAAACATTCTACGCATTGCAAAGTTAATGGACATTGCTCACTTAAATACTAACTAAATCGTAAAAATTATCATAACACCATTCTGTCAATATTTATTATTAAATATATATTTAAACTATTATTAAATAGGACGTTTACCGTGGAGGTAAATCATCCAAACAACCATTTATTATTTCGAGGGTGCCCGAGAGAGCTGACCTCGGCTCGATCGGTACCTATATTTTGAATGGGATGATGTCTAAAGCTATCATTACTACCACTTCGGAATGCCTTGGCGCTTGGAGAGGTGGCGGAAGAAATTCCAGCAACGCTTCTATCGTTAACCGGGTAAAACCTGCCAGGTACGTGGCGGAACCGTGAAGTATTTGTTTGCCGCACTCGCACGCCGGCGAGTGCGGTGTTCAGATGCTAGGTTTTCATGTGTTTGCGTAATTGTTTTATCCTGTCGATGGCGATAGTTGTCTCATCGTCAGGGAAATTGAGGACGTGTCGTGGTCTACGCCATTGCCGGCGGAACGTGCCCAGCGGTAGGGGTCTGTACAACTACGACTAACGGACAATGATCACAGAACATTATCACTTTCACGAGAAGACTGAAAACATTTGAAATGCGTATAAGGTGCCCACTAGCGCGGGAATATGATGCTTGTCGCTTGTGCGGTTCGTTGCGAAACAACGCTACTTTGACATGTAGACCTGGGTCGATACTTTTTGTAACCAAAAAATGTTTTTTTTTTCACGAAATTTGGTGAAATCTCCTTTTTATGACCCGATGACACTTTATTTTATTTGATTTGAAATTTTTATTTCACTGGTCTAATGGGCTAGGACATAATTTGGTGAAAAAGTGGCAAACGAGCTGGCAGTTCACCTGATGTTAACGCAGAAGTGTAACACTTCTACTTTACGCCGGTCTTCTGTGAGGTCGTGGTAGGTACTTACCGGGACGGACCTGCCCATTCGTGCAACAGTGTAAACTGTTGCGTGGCCCTACCACAGTTAAAATGTAATAATATAATATTTTTATATTTTTTTTCTTGCGGTTGTTAAAATGATATTATAATTCAATGGGTTAAAAAATCATTGGATATGTAGAACAAAACTTCATTACGTTTAGAGCCCGTGGAAAGGTTAGATTGGGACTCTACTTTTGCAGAATAACGCATTTGTAGACATGCTTGCATTATCAAAACTTCCTAGTTGCTAAATGTCACCATTTTTATATAATGAAGTAAGTTGAATTAATTATGTCAATGTATTAATTACATTTGGGTAGGTATATGAAATAGATTCACTGTTATATTTAACCAAATTACATAGTACCTTGGTGTAAACCATGGCCAACACTGTTATAAATAAACATATAATCATAATCTCCTTTTAATATTACATCTTATAAATAATAGGTACATTTATATAAATGGAGTATATTCTTCCGCTTTACGCTGGTGTTTTGTGTGGCCCTATCGCTGTTGCAATATGATAAAAGTTTTCATGGGAGTATCGGTTTTTACTACTAAAACAAACAGCTTTAGCTGTTTGTTTTAAATATAATTATTTTAGTTATTTTTTTATACAGCGACATCTGTGGCCATATTTGTGTTCTGACATATTTGCAACATTGAAATTTGAAATATTCCTTTAATATCCGCTAGATGACATTAAACTCAAAGCACTTTCTTAAACTCAAAGTTAGTTTAAATTGAGTTGTTTTCTGGTATATAGGGATAACTATATAATATAGTGACAGATTGCAAAGTGATCACATTTCAAGATTTAAAAATTAAATTAAAAATTGCATTAATACGAAAGTTAACACATTAGCGACTAATCTCATTGCGCAGATGATACCATATAAGTGGAGTAGATTTTTTGATGAGTTTTAAGTTTTGGAGTACATTGAGCATGGTCAAACACAAAGATTTTATAACTCTACAGGATTCCAATATAAGGGAGTGACTCCACTATTGAAAAATCATAGCACTGAGATCGTGGGACGTATAAACATAATCAGAATTAGAGAGATAGTAACGTATAATGTACTTTTTATTGGTTTTATTCATATTTTTGGACTTTGTTGAGTTGACACATTTTTGAAGGTTATTTGTGAGTTGTGAATAATTAAATTAGAATTAATTAGCACGTCAATTGTGGTGGCAATCTTTGTCGCACCAAGTATCCGACGACCGCAGCGACGCTAGTGACTTGGAGTGTTAACCTCCATGTAAGACCAGGACATTGTGAAATAGTTACTCGCATAATCCAGTAGATGTCGTTTAAATAATATCCACAGCGATAACGTCAAAGTTAACAAATCTTCTCGTATAATTTTTATTGATTAATGCAATTACTTTTTGCTGCTAGAAAGTTTTGATTCTGTTTTCTACTGAATGCTCTTGGCATACTCAAATCTGACATCTTTATTTGGCAGAGAAAATATTTTCTGCTACCATAATAAGTTTAAAGGGAAAATACCCTAGCAACTACCGAATTTGTAAATAGATCAGTATTATACACTATGCAATACTGATGAATATTAACTAAATTAAACGCTGTCTAACAAATCTACCTCTTGCGGCGTACGAAGAACGCTAGCTGCTTTCTTCGCTGAATAGTTATAACTTTAAGACTAATTACAAGGGGCTTTCTTATCATCAGTCGCAACAATAAGGCAAGGCCGCAATGCTCTCAATAATTTTGATGTGTGGGCACCCTGCGGATCCAAAGTTTGTAAAGCAAGTGGCACTAAAACATAATGTACACAAACATACTCATATATGCGCCAATTATTTACCTGGCATGCATATTCTAGATTTATTGACATACATATGATAGCTAGGGAGCTCGCCTTCAATTCAATATACTCGAGCAATCTGAGTTTGATCCCGGTGTCGGCACTAATAAATTGTTAATTTTAATGTTGTGCTGATTTATCACGTGCTCCGAAGATGCAGAGAGACGTGAAGGATAACATTGTGAGGATACCTGCATATTTTGGATTTAATAAAAAAAATATCGAAGATATGTGTTCACCAATCCGCAGTGGGGCCGCGAGGTGGACTATGCCCTGATACCCTCTGTACAGAGGCGGCCTTTGTCCAGCAGTGGGACATGTATAGGCTGTTAACTTTACTATACTTTTACATATTCTAGTCATCTAGGGTCTGCCCACTGCGATGCCCAGTACAATACTGCTCTCTCCCAGTACAATACTCAAGAAGTGTTCCTCAACATCGGTTCTACGAGATATGTGCAAATGGAGTCTGTTGACAACGGTCTGTGCAAATGACCGGGAAGTGTTAGGGTCCTGGTGGTTCAGGGTCGTGCTTCATGGAAGTCTGTTGGGCAGGCATAGGCCTGAACATAGTTTCAGCCCTGAACTTTAACTGGCTGATATAATGATACATATTTTGTGTGGTCGGACTAATGTTGTTTTTACATAGACGCACACTATTCACTTTATAGATACATTATTTTATAGTAACAAGTGTTAAATTAATGTTTTTTTATGTCAAAAGGTTGCAAGCGAGCAGGTGGTTCGCCTGATGTTAAGTGATAACCACCGCCCTTTGACATTTGCAATACCTGTAGGGTTGCAGATGCGTTGACGCCTTTTGATAAAGTGGGCCCCGGCTACCTCACCCACCAAAAGAAATGCAGCGTAACACTTCGATTGACGAACCTGCCCATCCGTGCAACAGCGAAGACTGTTGCGTGTTCCTACCAAAGTGATATTATTATTAACTAGCGACCCGCCCCGGCTTCTCACGGGTGCAATGTCGAATGTTTGTTTTCGACATCGCATAGAAACCTCTAAAATTATCAGTGTTTCTGTACTCTATTATGTATGCATTATACATATAAACTTTCCTCTTGAATCACTCTATCTATTAAAGAAAACCGCATCTAAATCCGTTGCGTAGTTTTAAAGATCTAAGCATACATATGGATAGACAGACAACGGGACGACTTTATTTTATACTATGTAGTGATTACAACCAGCTTGCCGCATCATCAGCAGCCAACTGCTGGACAAAGGCGGCTCGCCATGTTCATATCTCGAACCTCAGCTGTGAGGAACCAGTAATCACCAGCCCTGCGCAGATTATCACCCCATTTGGCCAGGGACTTACCCTACGTCAGCCTTGACGCCTACCCCTCATAATGCGATAAAACCCCTCGCTTATGCGAAAAAGACGTATAACTTTTAA